AGTACCAGACTTGCTCTTTTAGCCACTGCTTTTTCATTCCCCACTGAGGCACTCTAGTTCATGCATCAGCAGTGTAATGTCATGTGGCCTGACATGAGAGTCTTGCCTGCTGGGATTACAGAGACTTCTAGAATCTGGCGAGATTACAAAATCAAGCATCGATGCCGTGGTGAAACTTCTTCATCTGCTGCAAATATAACAAGCTCCATCCTTTACTGCCTGACAAGATTCTGTTTAGTTTATCTGCCTTGTATTCTGAATAGATGTCCCTACAGAGATTTTCAATCTGAGATCTACACTTCCGGCAGATTTTGTTGTTTCACTGCCATGCCTGCTCTCATTAGAATTTCTGTTTTCATTTCAGAGCCCTATTTTGTTAATTTGCATTTGTCTTCTTGATTAAATAGTGTCAGAAACTGTAATTCGAAAGAAGATTCCTGAGATATTTAGCTACCATTTTCTTCTTAACTAAGTCAAATGTATATAAAGATCCCATACTTTAAAAAAAAAAAAAAAAAGAAAAGAAAAAAAAAAGGAAAAAAAATAAAAATAAAAAAAAATTCAAAGGAAGGCATGTCTTAACATTTACATTTTGCAAGTGTAAGCCAAATCTGCAAACCTGACAGACAGAGCCAGAGTGAATGACATTTATTGCTTTGTGAAAGACCCATGTCTCTCTTTTTATATTTCTTTTCTCTGCATCCAAATTCCAGTCCCAGAATAAGCCAAACGGCATGCAGGAGTAGAAGAAATACTGTGTTCTAAAAGGTCAGAGAAAAAAAGAAAGATATTTGACATTAAGGAAGAGAATAGAGAAAAACACTGTCAAAATCTATAGATATTTGAAAATTGCTGGCATCTTGTACCTAACATCTTGTACCTAAGACCTAGCAGGAATATCTGTTTAATTTAATTACAAATTAAAGAATTTGTATTTCAATCTAAAAATTATCAGAAAGGAACAACAATCACTAATGAACTTTTCATGCCGTATTTCTTTCTTGCTTAGCACAGATTTCCTCAACATTTGAATCATACTTTTTAATTTTATGGCATAGTCTACACTTCAAGTTTCAAATTACAGAAGATATTTGCTCCCAATACATGCATTGAACTTGTGATGTAAAAGTTGAATTGCATTTGTATTTTCTTCTAACTACATACACCTCTAGCAAAAAATGGAAACAGCTTTGTTAACAACATGTCTGTCATTCCAAAATTCACTCATCCAGAATCACTCAGTTGGATACAAACCAGATGTCTCTTGATGCCATTGCTAACTCAAGATGTCTGGTATTTATGCAGTCCTGAAATTTACTGATTATTTTTTATATGCTATAAAATTTATGGTTTAGGCAAAATAAAATTTGTGCTACAAAAATATATACTGAAGCCACACTCTTCTACATCAAGACAGGACAGACATTTTATTAGCTAACTCATAGACAGAAGGCTAATTCTGGGTTAGCTTTGGCAGTGAGTTATGTTACTGGTACAGCTGTTTGCCGTCACTAAAAGAATATGAATTTTTCTCCTATTTCCTGTATTCCAAATCACTAAATAATAGCTTTTTCGGTATATTTTGCAACATAGTATTTGGTATGGAAAAAAACACACAACATTCATGCTTGTGTTAGCAAATGAAAAAGAGGTAGCACAATCAAAGTGGTAATTGAAAACCTTACCTGATTGATGTTCATGGCTGTTACTGTAGTATTTTCTTAGATTAGTACTACTCCTGGTTAAAATAATTAGATATTTACCTAAAATGAGCCTGTCATATGTTAGCATTTTGTGAAAACAACTGATTTATAGTAATTATGTACAAAGCAGAGCTTTAAGCTTTAACTGTGTTCCAAACTTAATTCACACGTTGTGACTGAACAAGAGCAAGTGCTGAATTCTACAGTGTTGACAGAGTAACTCCAGATACCTGTGTGTTCTTGGGAATGAGAGGCTGGAGAGCAGCCTGATAGGAAGGGATCTGCAGGCACTAGTTGATGGCAAATTGAACATGAGGCAGCAGTGTGCCCTGGCAGTGCAAAGGGCCAACCGTACCCTGGGGTGCCCCAGGCCCAGCACTGCCAGCGGGTGAGGGGAGCGGCTGTCCCCTCTGCTCTGTACTGTGTGGCTTCTCCTACAGCACTGGGTGTGGTTTGGGTGCCACAATATAAGGAGTACGTAAAGCAATGATAGAGTGTCCAAAGGAGAGCTACAAAGCTGGTGAAGGATGTAGAGGACAAGGCGTGTGAGGAGTGGCTGAGTCTCCCGGGTTTGTTCAGCCCAGAGCAGAGGAGCTGCGAGGAGGCCTGATGGCAGCTGCAGCTCCTGACAGGGAGCGGAGGGCAGCGCTGAGCTGTGCTGTGTGTGACAGCGACAGGGCCCAGGGCACGGCATGGAGCTGTGCCAGGGGAGGGGCGGCTGGGGGGTGGGGACAGGGTCTGCACCAGAGGGTGGTCGGGCCCTGAGCTGCCGGAGTTCAAGGAGCGTTTGGACGGCGCTCTGGTTCGTGGCGTTTGGATTTTGGGTGGAGCTGTGTGGAGCCTGCAATTGGGCCCAAGGGTACCTGTGGGTCCCTTCCAACTGGGGATATTCTACAATTCTGTGCTTCGTAATCAGCAGAAACTCTAGACCCATAAAAACTGTGCTTTGTGAAGTACTGTCAGAGAATGTAATTGGACTGGGATAGAGGAGAAATGTGAGTTGTGTCTAGCATGAAATTATATAATTCTGGTCCATTTCCTTCCCATCTTTGTCATCTTCAAAAGTCTCTGAAAAAGAAGACAAAATGAAAAGCACACAGGTGCTGCTAGAATATAGCAGGGGGGATTGGAGGAGGCGATGGGGGCTAGGGGGAAAGGGCAGTAACATCTCTGCAAATACCTGAAGGAATATTTCAGCATTATTTGTATTTTTATGCCTTTAAAAATTAAACGAGGAATAAGAAGAGTATTATTTATGCAGAGATGCTGTTTGCCTTAATGTTATTAGTTTTCATTAAAAAATAGTAACTTAATAGTTTAAAGAAAGACATACAACAATCAGAAAGAGAATCCTGCTTTATGTTCTATTGATAGTTCCCTGCATGGAAATTCTAGATGTTAGATTCCTTAGGGAGTTCAATGCTAACATAAATGTCAATATAATAGTAGATTTTGAGATAAATTTGGGAACCCAGCACCATTTAAGTCTTATAATTTCTAATACATATCTGCAGTATTTTTCTACTTTCAAAGTAGAAGATAAATAAATACAGAATAGTAAAAATAAAATAGTAAATTCAGGGTATGTTTTCCAAATTTTATAGTCTGAAGCTTCACTGAATACTTGAATCTAGTGCTTCAAAAATCTATCCAGCTAATATTTAAAGTACCGTTCCAAAATGAGAACTGTTTTATGTAAAGGTAAAGTATATTATATTCAAGATTGTGTATTGTGATTTTTAAAAAGAAAACTCTAGACCAACACATTTTAGGGAATGTTTCTCCTTTTCCCTAATTGCAAATGTATATAGTGTGTTCTGTTTTCAGAGAGAAATGTTACTCAGTTATTTCTTTTTCAACTAGATAAAGACAATAAATATCAGGCATAAAAATTCAACCATTCAACACAGAGATAAGATTTTAAATGTAAGTATTGAGCAAATTCACAATGCCTGTGTGACCATAATGTCAGAAAGAGTAATGTAAAAGATAGTTTTGTTCAGGAAAGAAGAAACAGCTGAAAGCACACATCATGTTTTCGAATAAAAATCAACACCAGTTTTCATGTTACACTGATATAGTTTTAAATACCTTTCAGTGACAGTAAAAAACAGCAAATTTGAAATTACTTCTGGTAGACACTTAAATCCATTTTCATGTCTCTTTCATACATTTTGCCTAGGTCATAGCTCCAATAGGTGTTGTGCTTTATGGAACATGAACCATGTATACAGAAAGGGGTACTCCAGAGCACAGACTCTTTTCCACAAACCACTTCCCTTCTGCTCTTCCTGGTAATGTGCAAGCTCTGGCAAACATCCCCAGAGCTGCTCATTTTTTCTGAACACAGCAATGCTTTGTTTTCTGCGCTTTAGTAAGGAAGATGTCAAATCTTAAATCTGGTTCCAAAACCAATCACACATTTTTCTACCTGCTTGGAAGCTGTATTATCTGGGCCCATCATAACTAATGACTCAGTAGAAGCAGTTATGGGAAAATTGCTGACAAATATGCTTAAAGCAACTTCTTGGAAAACAAAGCCTGAGAACACGTGTGGAAGGTGAGCTGCTTTATATCTGACGGCTGCTTTATATCTGAAGGCGTGGTACTCCTATCTGACAGCCCCATTACTGCTGCCAGTAGCACAAGCCACCACCCAACGCTGGGCCGCCATTTCAGAGCCGGGCTGCTTCTACCGTGCAGCAGCACCACCATTTTCCAAAGCCCAGCAAAGAGCAAAGCAAGGACACAGAGAAGGGACACGGAGAGCAGAATGTGACCGAGAGCTACAGGGAGGGAGCCCAGGGGCTGCTGTACACACAGCACCGCGCCGCCAGGAAAGCAGTGCAGCACCACTGCGAGCGAGCGGCCACAGCGCGGCGCCGCAGCGTGATCGGCGGGTCGGGACCCGCGCTGCCGGAGCACCGCGGCCGGGCCGGGCGGGCAGCGGGGCCCCGGCAGACGGAGGGGCCGGGGCGGCGGCGGGAAGCCCCCCGCTGCACGGAAGTGGGGCGACCCCTGCAAGACGCCGCCGCCGCCTCCCGGCCCGGCGCCCTTCGCCCTCTCCTCTGGGCCCGGCTCCCCTCGGGCTCCCGGCCCAGCCCGAGGGGTCTCCCCCACCGCTATTAATTCGCAAAGAACCGCGCGGGTTGCACCGCCACCCCTCGCGCCGGCCTCCGCGGCAGGACGTCGAGCGCGGAGCATGCCGGGAGCTGTAGTCCCCAGCCGTCACCAGGGAGAGGAGCGGCGCGCGGCGGGGACTACATGTCCCTAGGGCGCACGGGATAGAGGGGCGGTGCCGTGGGCGGAGCGCGGACAGCTCCGGTGCTGATCGCGGGGCGGGTTTGCCGGCAGAGTCCGGGTGGGCAGCGGGCTGCGAGCGACAGCGGGACGAGCGGCGGCCGCGTCCGACGATGAGGCACGAAGCGCCCATGCAGGTCGGTGCCCGGGCCGGGGGCGAGGAAGCGGCGGGTGCGGCGAGGCTGGGATGCGGGAGGTGGCAGGACGGGGCGGGAGGAGACCTAACGAGGAACTGTGGAGCCGCCGGGCTGGGCTCGCAGTCGGCTGCCCGGCACGGCGCTCGGCAGAAGCGGCGGCGGCTCACTGGTTCGGCGGGCGTGGCGAGTGCGGGGCCCGATGGACGAGGGTCCCGGGCGTGTCGGGACTCTGCCCGGCAGGTGGGCAGCCCCGGCTGTGGGGCTCGGTGTGCCCCGTCTTGCGCACAGCTCGGTGCCCCAGGCTGCTATCCCACTTGTGGGGTTCGGATCTTCAGGGTGAACAAAGCAGTGCCCTGCAGGTACCGTTAATGCCCTTTGAGCTCTGATCGCAGGCCCCTGGGAGTAGGCAAGGGTAAGTTTTCAGGGGATGGTGAGAGGAATTGATGTCTGGGCGTGCAGGAAGTTGATGAGTTGTCTCCACCTGTTTTTTTGCGCGAGGAGCTGCCGTCCATCTCCAGCGGGGATAGTCAGCTCATTAGAGCTAGGAGCAGTGAGGAGGTGGCCTCTTTTCAACCATTTCACATATGAAAGGATATTGCACCCCTTAGTATGTCGGAAACAAATGATGTGCATGCAGACACAAGTAATGCCGCACAGTTTAAAGCAGTTTCTTGGTAGTTGCTTAAAAACAGTTTGTGCTGTGCAGTTAGCTGTATATTAATTATTTCTCACAGCCCCTTTTATGATCTCTTGTGGGAGCTGTGGGCCCCTAGACTATGTACTCAAACACATGACTGCTTTCTAATTGAAGATTGGTCACATTTCTGGTGAACTGGTAGCAATCAATCTTGCTGATTCTGTACAATGCAAAGAACACTTCTGCAGTCAATGGTGATTTAAGTTATGAACTGCAGCTCTGTTAGCAAATATTTTTCATGCTGTATATCTGCTGTCTGTAGTACCAGCTTGAACTGCACTTGCTTTAATATGCATGCTCAAAAAGCAATCTGAAGTCTTAAGTTACGCTGAAGTGGCATTGGGTTTCTTTGACTTTTGACAGAGGACAATAATTTCATAAACATTTTGCAGAGCAATTGCTTGGATGTCATATGCTGAAACATTTCAAATAGGTGCACTACAAATAAACCAGTCTTCATTTAGAATGTTTTTTGGTTTTCTGATTGGAGAACAGCAACAATTAGTCTGCTGTTTAAACTGCTTAGTTCTGCATGCTATGTGCATGCTTTAGGAATATTTATGTGGAATTTGACACCTATTTACGTGTGTCTTTTGAAATATCAAAGTCATATTTAGTATGTATTGACTTTGAAGAGCATTTCATTAAAAGCAGATTTTTCTGATGAAAAAAACAGATTGGTCATTCTTGCATTTGGCATTTGATGGGTTACTGGCACTGATAAATACTTGAAAAAACAAAATTGTTGTTCAATTTTAAATAAAATTTGAGGAAAATAAACTCCATATTTGAATACATACTTAACTGTCATATATCAGAGAACTGCTGCTTATTTTTTATATCTAGTAATCAGTATAAATTGAATTATTGTTTAACAGATAGCATAGTCTCAGCATAAACAGAGACAGTGAACAGATATTAAAAAAAAAAAAAAAAAACAACCACAAACCACTTTAAGTTGCAGTTTTTCAAAGCTAGAGAGATGGTCAAACAATGTCTGTTTTTAAACAGATGTGTTCCAAAATGATAATTGTGTGAAAATGTAGTCTGGCAGATTTTGCCTTGTAGTTTCTGTACATTTTTTTCTTCTATTTACACCATTCCATGTGTAGTTACCTACTATTCTTATTAAAGATTCAAGTAAAACAATATTCTATTGTGGACTTTTCTCCCTAATAATCTTTTATTTTTCCAGCTTTCTTGTTCAAATGTGGCTTAGAACTGGCTGGACTAATTGCCTGGTTTCCATGAAACAAATACTGTTGCTTCTTTGTACACAATAGCTTTGTGGAACAGTCCGTTCTAGAGCTAACTTTTCTATGAACCATAGTGCAACAGAAAAAGTGATTAGGTACGTGTCTTTTGATCAGGATAAAAAGAAGTTAGAGGAATGTGTAAGCACTGGTTTGGTGGTGTTTTTTTTGTTTTTTGGTTTTTTTTGGTGTTTTTTTTTTTTTCCATTTCCATCAAACAATAATTAAATAGATAACTAAGAAGTTAAAATGTTGTAGGAGGATAAGAGAAAGGGCCTGTGCATTAAGACTGTCTTTTCTATATTTATGAATTCCTTGTTTGAAACTCAAGCTTATGACATTTCTCTTTAGACAAGAAGAAACAAAACTTACCAGAAAGTTAGCTCAAACAGTCCTTCCAGAGAAAGAGTTAACCAACATAAAAATTAGCTATTGTCATCTGCTACAGATAGTTGGATCTGGATCAGAGTTTGTGGCTACTTTTGTCACTCTCTTGGGCAAATAATTCAAATTCACTAATGTCGTAGAGGTGAGATATAAGTATTGAAAGGGAAACAATATATAAAGACAATGTAAGCATTTCTGATGCTTTGTCAAAGAACAAATGAGAACATTTTTTTTCAGAGCACTTCACATCCTGTTGTCACTGACAGTGGTTGTGCTCAGACATAATGGTTTATAACAGACACGTGCAAACACAATGTAAAACTGCAAGAGCAAGTAAAAAGAATCTTTGCAGATATTTAAGAGTTGTACAATTATGATTAAAAAAAAAAAAAGAAAAAAAGAAAAAAAAGCCAAATCAGATCTTTTAGACACAGAATTTGGTATGGCAATACATCTCCTGTCGATGAGTAAAAGTATTAGATGTGTCATTCTTGGTTAAGATTAGAAGCACTGGAGAAGAGCCTGCCAAACCTCTCAGTCCACAGAACAAGTCATATTACCTTTTTGTTAATCATTTGGAATCATTTTCTGTCACAACTTCTATTTGGAAGTCACTTATTTGCTGGTTCCATATTTTCTAAGGCAGCTCAAAGGTACACAGGTATACTGATACACTCAATTCTTCTCAATTCCCAGTGTCTGTTCTACTGTATGTCTGCCTGAGTAGTTTTCATTCCCTAATGATTACTCAAGGTTACTATCTGTGTATGTTTTACTCTTAGATTTCACTCACAGGAGAAAATTAGGTTAATGAAAAATAGCTGAGAAGTCATGCTTAGTTCACCATAAGCAGATCATCAGAAATCATGTGCTAAAGCTTTTCCAGAACTGTTCTTTATTGTGCCTTTCATGCTGCTGTCCTGGATAGTAGCCAGCACTGTGGCCATATTCATGCTACTTCTCCTGATACAAAGTTGAGCTTGTTTTAGATTCTCTCCTCTCTGTATCTCCTCAAGTTCCCCAACATTTCATTATTGTTACTATAATAAAACATCTCTAACAATACTTTTCAGATTGAATAATATGCTTGCAAATATTCATAAATACAACTTCATAATACCTTGAAGTAGATATGCTTCTCCTGATGCTGCAAATTAACTTAGACAAGCTGTATGCTGCAGATGGCCAGTGATCCATAATTCCAAATAAATGATTGTCCACTTAACTCTGTTAAAAATGAGATCACAAGAATGATCTGCAAAGCTTTTTGAGGATTGGCTGTGGCCTGCATCTGTGGATAGTCATGGGACTATTTAGAGAGCATTAAAGTAAGAGAGGTTAAGCATCTTGCTGAAGACATGAGGAAAAAAGGAAAATGAGAGTGGTGAAAAAGTCTGAAACAAAACTCAGTCCCCAGATTATTCGTCTGGCAGTTTGTGTACAAAATCATTCTTTTCTTCCTGAGTAGGTCATACAGTCATAGAATAAATGAAATGTTCTTCCATATAAGGATCTTGATAATATCCTAACTGCACTGATGATGACCTTTGATTTGCAGATTCAAGATGCTCACTTGTGGTGCGTCCTACATTCAGTCCCAGAAGTTACAAATACTGAATTTTCCACTTGTATTTCATTGTTTCCATTTCACCTGGGTATCTTGATTAGTAATATTTGACAGAAAGGAGGATCCATCTCACAAAAAGCTGCCAGTGCAGAGAATCGTCTTTTTGCTGAAATAGCTAGTCTTTTTTGAAAGCAATATAAATGTATGTATTTCTACACAATATATAGAAATAAATCCTACTATTTGAAATAATAGTATTTATTCAATCAGTGTCCATTTATTCTTAGTGTAGATAGAGAGAGAACATTTTCTCCAGGCTTACTCTTAATCTTTTCCTTTAAAATATACCTGTTGATATTATTTTTAATAGTGTAGAAAGTAGTTCTGGCATACACAAAAGAGTGAACCTTAGTATTTTCAATCACAGCTTTTCTTTTTGCATTCTCTCTTCCAAGAGCAATTCAATCTGCATAGACATCCAGAGTATGGTTGATGTATATGTTCAAACTGAAGTGATATACAGGCCAGGAAGCATGTTGCCCTGCTTAAGTGAGAAAGCTGTTCAAATTAATTCTATCAAAGAAAAAGATCCTCTAAGGCCATAGAGAGAAACACAGCGAAGTGTTTTAGCGTTATCATGAAGATCTTTTGAGATTTATTTTCTTGGCCTGGTGGGCCAGGTCTGGGCTCTCAGATCTGTCTTGAGTCCTTCAGGAGGTAGCCCAAGGCTGCTTTTTTTTGCTGAAATCCTGGTGACTATGAGGATCTAAAGAGGCACTCATGCTGTTAAAAAATGGTGCACGAAATGAGCTAATGGAAACAGCTTTGTGCATCTTCTTTTTAATGTTACTAAATACAGACAAATTTTAATTGGAGAGAAAATTCAGTGTGTTTTGATGAATGTGCTGCATGTTTATGTAGCCATTTAATCATTTGAGAAGAGAGCTTTGTCAAAATAAAGGTAAAGTTTCGGTTTTCTTGGAAACAGAAGATTACAGAGCTAGCAAATTTGGCATGTTTATCTGGTTCCTGTCAATATGTGTAGTATTTAATTAATTTGCTCGAGTATGGCTGTTCTCCTACTTATTTCCAGCATTTTTTCCAAAGGAGGAATCGGCATCAGATTTTTCACATTTCTTTATTTATTAAATGCCTCCATTGTTGAGACAAATCGTGTTAAAAGTGAAGTGCGGTATTATTTTCTCTACAGCAGTGCAGTCCATGCTTGAAACAAGCAGTCTGCACTTAAGAGACAAAAACACTGCAAGATCATGCACAAATCCCTGCAAGATCAAGCATCTAGGTTTCTCTTCCAGTTAACAGAAAAATAGAGACTCCTCTACAGTATCATTTAGAGTGGGAGCCTGATGCACACTTTGAAGCTTATTATGAAATGAATGAGCTTTGGGAAGTAATGACAGCAGTGCTGAGTTTGATGTTTTTTCAGGCTGGTGCAGGCAACAGTACTATTCTAAAACTCATCTGAGTTTGGAAGGTATCATTCACTTGTGATACTCTCAGAAGACTATTTCTCTTTGCTGAAGTTAATCTCTCCAAACAATCTGAACTGTTATCAGTAACTCACTAACCTCCTCGTGATTCCCTAGATGGAAAGTGGAGAAATAAGTCCTTTTCCTTGCCTTCCTCTTATACTTTCTGCTACATATAATAGGCAGAAATACTGAAATAAAGATTTGCTGAGGTTCTTTGTTCAACTTGCCCTTAGTTCTGCATACAGCAGTGCAAGTAATGAATCCATAAGTTCAAGGCATAGTGAAGTTACTGAGCTTTATTTTTTAATTATTGCTGAGAATGTTTAAAAAAACTACTGCATGGGTAATCCACATAAATATTAATTTAGAGGAACATTGTTTAAAAGTGTCAATAGGAAATGTTCTTACCTAAGAAAGCAACATGAAGTGCAAGCTTTAGTGAAACTATCATAAGCACTATTATTAGAAACTAGGCCTCTAGATTACTCTGCTCACTGAATCATAACTTCTAAAGAAGTGTGAGGCACTGAAATTCTTAAGGATTAAATGTAGTGCACATGGGGTCCAGCCCGCTGAATATAAGGCTGGCGGGGACCAGCAGGCTTTGTCAAGAGGCAAGCTGAAGAAGCTACATGAAAGTCTTCTTAGGAGAAAAAATCAAGAAAGAAAATGCTTCTTCTTTCTAGAAGTGGTAATTTATGGTTTCAGCTGCTAGATTATGGAAGAGAGACTGAAGAACAGCAGAACAGGCTGTTTGCAAAAGCATAAGGGCTGCTCACAGACATGCCCAGCCACTGCACAGCCTTTGGTTTGGAGGATTTTATTGACTTCCTCTTGTAAGTTGTGCAATACATTAGCACTTTAGTATGTGATACCCTGCTAAGATTAGACTAGCATAAACACAATATAATTTTCTTATGCACATGTTCCAAGCAAAATACCCCATATAGTTTTAGAATAGGGGAGAGTGGTGAGGGTGGAGAAGATTTGTTTCTGTACTTCACTGTAGAAATATGAAAGGTGAAATATTAGTGATATTCATTTGTACTTTTTCATTCTAAAATGTTTCACATTTCAGAAAGAAGCGAATAAATATTAAAACTAATGCAAACACTCAGGATGCAAAGATGTGGTAACTGAGACCAGATTTAGCCAAGAACTTTAATCATTACCAAATAAAAAGGATAAGTCAGAAATCAAACAGTCACTAATGCATTATTTATGAAATATAAATCTTACACTGCATTTTCCATTGAAAGCTTGATACTTCCATTGTCTCCTTCATAACATTTTGTCCCCACTTCTATATGACTCCCCATATGCCCAGAGAAGCTAGCATAGTGTTACTTGTATTAGAAGACAAAAAATTATCTCAGAAGATTTATGCAGTAATTGAAATTCTGAGAGAATTTCACTGAGTTAGTGTACATCCTTCATCCTTCTGCAGTGTCTCAGTTCCAGCTGTCCTCTTAGACTGCCTGAATGCAGTCTGAGATGTCTAATTTAGAAAGCTTTGACACAGGCTGCTTTTTGAGTACCTTTATGTTAGAATAGGCTGTTGCTCTTGCTGTCTGAAATTGGTCTGCAAATGTATTACCCTTATTGCCCAAATGCAAGAATTTAAAATACTGCCAGGTTCCAAAAATTCTTGAGACTTTTCTTAGCACGAGTGAAAAACATTTAGTTTTAAGTTATTGTTTTTGCCAACTGCGTTTTAATCCTTACAGGTAAGATTGCGGCTGAGTTTTCAAGTTAACCTCTGTGACACTTCTGAAAGTAAAGCATAAAATGTATAATGAAACCTATTATCTTTGAAGCCTCTAAGCAAAATGAATTTGATATTCAGTAGTATTCAGTTTATTCAGTTTTTGTAATCTCGCGTTTTATATGAGTTAGAAGTCTTCTTTTAAGGATGCAAATATGAAGACATTATCAACTGTCATTTATTCCTATTCCAAAACTGTACAAGATATGAGAACTGAAAAATATCAAGACCTTATGTGAGAGGTATATACTGAACTCACTTTTTCATGGAAAGCTACTAATGGCAAATGTATTAAAAAGGTGGTAGGCATTAGAAATGATGGTAGAATATTTATAGTAAGATAAATTATTCAAGAATTATATCACCTATGAATGATTCTAAGTTTTCGTTTGGAATTGTACCTCCTCTGCAATAAGTTACCCGTCATCTCTTATTTATTCCTTGTGAATGTGAAGAGAAGCATCTTTGTCTGTATTTTCACAATTTATTTCTTTCCTTACATTTTCTGAAAGTAGGTCTTAACTGTTATTCAAGAGCTGGACTTCTAGAAGGATCTTTTTGTTTTCATTATAGTGATGTTTAGCTTTGATAAGTCCTCTTTTTCAACTATTATAATGAATACAAGAGTTATAGAAGTGTCTTGAACTTCTGTGACCTTCTTAGTTCTCTATGCCTGTTACTAAAAATTCCAATAAAATCTAGAATTTTCTTGTTTTATATGACTCAAAAGACAATAACTTATTTCTTTTTATTCTGAATTACAGATGGCGTCTGCTCAAGATTCCAGATATGGCCAGAAAGATACATCTGACCAGAACTTTGATTACATGTTCAAACTGCTCATCATTGGCAACAGCAGTGTTGGGAAAACCTCCTTTCTATTCCGATATGCTGATGATTCCTTCACTTCTGCATTTGTGAGCACGGTTGGGATCGATTTCAAAGTAAAAACAGTTTTCAAAAATGAAAAAAGAATTAAGCTACAGATCTGGGTAAGCCAAGATAATAATTCTGTTAACTAAGCAAGCTGTAGAAGTTTGATAGATAGCATTTAAACTGCTGTTGTTTTCCACTGAATGTTATAATCTATATATTATCTGTATGTATGGCAGAGTAATGAAAAAGAAATGCTTTCCTACATCATTTTGCTGTCTTCAACCCTTTTGGTTAAGAACATAACCAATATTTTTAAGGCATTAAAATTCAGCATAGTATATGTTCTGAATTAAATTCTTTTAAGAAATAGCACAGGCTGACATATAATCTGTGCAGCCAGGAGCAATATGTAGTCCATTGAAAGTTACATATATTATTACAGAGAATTTCAAAGTGCCACTTAGATACCTTTTTTGTTTTCTTGCTCCTGTATATATTTATATAAAGTTTATATTTTTATTATATAAATAATAATTTATAATAATTATTATAAATAATGATAATAATAATATAGGAGAAACGCTAGTAGATGCGTAACAGAAAGTATAATTTTTTGCTATGTCAGCTAAGCTTGTCAACTAAATCAGCTGAACCCTTTTCCACTTCTACTGATGAAGGAAACCCCTTGTCTTTTTCCTACATTTCAAAGATGCTATAAAAATTCTCAGTTTTTATAATGAGCGTTCTTTTCTGCAAACTATCCTCTTGAACAGGAAAAGAGAACAAAAATTTACTCATGCAGCAGCTAGTGATGCTTATACATCCTAATTTTTGAGTGGCAGGGTGATACTCAACTAGAGAGATGTTAGCAGAACTTTTAACAATGTGGGAGCTGCAGTTAAAGCTTCAGGTTTGTCCATCTTCCTTGGGTGCCTGAGGATTTTCAGCATTTTCTTTGTACGATATTTGTAATATCCTGATTAACCAAAATATCCTTTTTCTGTGCATGAATACAAGTAATTTAAAAATACATTTAATGGTAAAAGTCATTAATCTGGGGAAGGTTTGGATCAAACATGACTATGCCATCTAACATGCTTTAAATGGCAGACAAGGTGAGTTTGTTTTTAATGTGTAATAGTTCCCCAGTGTTTTCATTTTTTATGTGAAGACTATGATCATCAAGGTAAAGCCAAAGGTGAATTTGCTCCGTTCCTAGGCTTCATCTCATTCATGTCACCTTAACAAGGCTACAGCCATTCTTATCTCAAATCATTTGTTGGTCTATGCCCTCTGGTTACAGGAACACAGGCTCTTTTCTTCTCAACTTCTCTATCTTTCTAAGCTTAATACTTATTGTTATCAAGAACAAAAGAGATTTTGCAGCACACTAGGTTACTATGCATCATGTGTTCTTTTCAACTTCAGTGTTGATGATCACTAGGTAATTCTCAATGTCATTACCTTATTTTTTGATAAGAGAGCAATAAAATTGTGTTTACATTATTGTCTTTACACAGCCCTTGTTTTAATCACCAAGTAGCCTTTACGATTGATTTTATTGTTCATGTATCTCCTAGCTAAATCAGCAACATCCGTTTATAATTTTGTATTAATATGATTAGTTTGACATCAGTACATTTCTCATAATGTCTCTCCATGCCAGATTCCAATTACGTGCTTGGCTCAAAGCAGTCTATTAATTAAATGTATTCAGGGCCATCCATGGCATAGAAAGGATATAGCAGCTGTATTTTTGCCAGCTGGAATAAACTTCCAGTTCTAGCCAAATGAACATTTTGTTGGTCTTTGTATGGCAGCAACGCCACAAGGACTGCTTTGAGAACGACCCCCTTTGTTCTGCAGTGACAAAACAGTACAGGAGAATCCTTGTCTAAAAACACTTGCAAGTGAAATGTCTGAGTGAACACAAGTTTTTTGTATCCCACAGAGAAGAGGGGGCAGAGACATAGATAATGAAAAGGACCTTCCTGAAGGCGCTTATCAGGATGCAGGGCTAGGAACAAGACTCTGTATCATGCTTTAAAGCAAAAGCTTTGTTTCCCCAGCCAGCCCTGCCTCATGAGTTTTATTTGCTTGTTTGTTTTTTGTTTTTGTTTTTGTTTTTTCTTCCAGTTAAGATTTTAATGCTGGTTCTTAAAAACCGTTGTTGCCAAATGAACTGAAACTGTAGCAGCACCCTATTACTGTTTGAACTTTTTAGATGAAGTATTAGTTGCAGTTAGGCTTGCCAGTGTAAACCTTCCACAAAATCAACTAAGTATCTCAGAAAGCTGTTGCAGTACACAAAATGTGAAATAGAGCAGTATCACCCCATCTCTTAAGTTGTATCAACAGTTGCATTATTATTTTCATGCAGTATTTGCATAAGTAACACCTTTCTATTTTAATATTTATTACTTTATGCAAATGCATTTCCAAAATGAGTAGTTCTGCAATATCTATTGCATTTCAAACTGCAATTATGAAAGACCATTTATATTACATAACATATAAAACTGATAAAGTAGTGTGAATGTGATTTAATTCTGAATAGAAACATGCATGAATTTGTCGTACTTCTTTCAAAATCAGTGACAAAGTATTTGGGAACATCATGCGATTAACAATTTTAAGTATGAAATAAACCATTCTGAAAAATCTCACAGATTTACATAGAAAAAACTGGAAATGATGAGATCAAAACTGATCAGATCAGAGTGGATCTAATAAACATTCATAAATATTTAAAGAGATCTGGGAGGCAAACAGGTAAGACCAGGCTCTTCTCAGTGGTGTGCTGCAATAGGATAAGCAGTAGTGGCCTAAAACTTGATCAGAGGAAGTTACATACTAACATGTCCAAGAACTTCTTCATGGTAAGGGTGACAGATCATTGGAACAGGTTGCCCAGAAAGGTTGTGGGGTAGAGTATCCTTATATGAAGATATTCAAGACTCGGCTGGATGCCTACCTGCATGACCTATAGTAGGGTACCTGCTTTAGCAGGGAGTTTAGACTCAATGGTCTCTTGACTGTGTGATTGTGTGATTCCGTGATGTCTATACTACAACTTTAACTACTTTTTAAAATGTATTTAGGCAGAAATAATTAATTTCAAACTGATTTCAGTACCAATTTTGTTTGAGGAATCTGGTATCAAGCTTCCCCTCTCTGATCTGCATATTATGAAATTTTTCTAACTACATTCTTACAGCAATATTTGCACACTTTCGTTCAAGTTGCAGCATCTCAGTGAAAACATCAAACAAGAACCCTACATTTACTTTTGCTGATTAGATGTCTTTCACCTGGGACTAGTTAGAGTTTATGGACTATATGCAGTGATCATACACAAATAAAAGATACCCTCTCAGAGAAAATGGTGTGAGAGCTGCTTGTGTCAGCATACCCTTTCTAGAATTTTGTGTGATGTTTCATTTGATAACCAAAATCTTGCTGTCTTCAACTGTCACACAATTCTGTAGTCATAGGGAGTAAGGACTAAGCGAGCACTATAAGATGAATGAGGAAAGCAAAACATCATTCAGTAGTTAATTAATAGTACTTGCAAAAAAGTCAATAAACATTAGGCATGTAATTTTTTTTTGCTTGAAAAGCTCCCTAACAGTTCTCTAGCAATAAAAAGATGTTCAGTTAAAAAGAGAATAATTTCTTTTTTGTGTCAAGGTAATCTCTGGAAATAGGACCATGAATGAAAGTTACCTTGATGTTAGACTCCTAAAGGAGACTACTACAGTACCTTGGAAGTGTAGATGCAGTTCACTACTCCAGAAATAAAAGTGACACAGGCTATAGTGTCAATTCAGTAGTCACTGGATAGATTGGTTTAGAAGAAACGTGGTGAAAAATGAACCTACAAAAATGTTTCAGAATTGAGACTAGAGTGTAGAGATAGATAAGAGTGAATATAGCAAGTGTTTCATCACAGGAATTTCAGCCTGATTTTGACACATTTGACTTCATATGATAGCCCCCATCAAAGTTTATTTGAAAAATGTATCAAATTTTATTTTATATCAAAGTATATTTTACATACTGTTCCTGTAGGTGTTTAAGGCCAGATTGGATGGGGCCCTGGGCAATCTGACCTAGTACTTGATTTAACAGTTGGCAATCCTGCCTATGGAATGGGGATAGGAACTTGATGATCCCTGAGGTCCTTTCCAACCCAAGCCATTCTATGATTCTATGACTTCCTAGTTCCTTTCTCTGGTGCTGGTGACAGCATTTCTGCTGCTTAGAATACAGCTCTTTTAAATGAGAATAGGAAATGTAATGTTGAAAATAAGATTTTGCCCTTTCAGAATGAAAATCAAATGTGTATCTAGTCAAGCAGTAAATGATTTGAATAAATCAATATGGAAAGCTGAGAATTGCTGGGCTTTGCGATTTCTCAGGATCTGTGTGTAGCAATAAATTAAACATACCGAGATTATCTTTTGGCACTGAGTTTAGCTGGCATGGAACAGTTTTTGTCCATATGTTGTACTTCTTTTAGTTTCTGAAAGAGAATGGCTACATCCAGACTTTGTATGGTATGGTCTCTGGCCTCTGCTAACTTCTGAACCTTGCCCAGGATCTGTTTGACAGAGTGCTAGCAAGCTTGGGCCAAAGCCATGCAGTAAAGCATGCTGACTGTTTCATAGTATAGACAAATTCCATGGCCTAGAAATGCTCTCTGGCACAAATCAATTTACTGCTCAAGGCATACCTGAAAAGGGCAGAAGCTCTGGCCAACATTGGGTTAGGCTGGCCAGCAGTTATGGTAAGTAAGGCAAATCATTCACAAATTGCTTGTCTGTAAGGAGGCTCACAGGGAACCATTCCTAGGCAAAAGTAGTTTGTTAGGAGCATGATTGTGATGGCTGGAAGGAAAACACTTTCTGAACTTCCCCTGTTAACTGAAACAAGTTGGAATGTTGTACAACTTTTGTCATGGTTTAAGCTGGAGTCCAGCAGGTGAATGATATCCTGGAATATTCCCCTTCCTCTCCTTTGTTTATTTCTCTCTTTCCTACACTGTGCATATTTTTGAAAACACATAAAAAGTGTTTTTCTAAAAGTTTCACAAGAGGATCCTTTTTCATGCTGC